AGTGGAAATCAGTAATGCAGAGAATAACTGCCAGCAAACTTCACCTTGTCGATATATTAATTTACTGGAAGACTAAAATCTTCACCCTAGTGCTTAGCTTTACGTTACAGGTAATCCTAGATTTGGAATCAATATATATAAAAACGAAATACCATTCATGCATCATCACAAAATCCCCAGAACCGTAAAGCTTACAAACTTAAAAATTTGACATATATGTTCCTTTTGGCTTATAGGTGCTCGCTTACAAAGGATTTTTTGAAATGACCATCAGATCATTAGTATTTCTTATAGTATTATTAACACGTTCTGATGCTAAGGAGTTAGATGTTCTACTGCCCCTCCCTACCTGAAAAGAACTCTGTTCCAAATGCCACTTGGGTTAAGGAGATCCAAATGCCACTTTGGCTAAGGAGTTAGATGTTCTACTCCCCCTCCCCGCCTGAAAAGAACTCTGTTCCAAATGCCACTTGACAACATTCCAAATGCCAACATCTTTGGCATCTTGTCAAATCACATCCTACCGACTCAGTCCAGCAAGCAAGTAGTCCGTACTATTAGAATTAGATTGTTAAAAGAGCCGCGGTGTCGCAGTGGTTAGAGTGCAGTACTGCAGGCTACTTCTGCTGACTGCTGGCTGACTGCAATTTGGGAGTTCAAATCTCACAAGGCTCAAGGTTGACTCAGCCTTCCACCCTTCTGAGGTGGTTAAAATGAGGAACCAGATGCTTGCAATTTATATTCTTCCTTTTTAACGTTCATTCCTTTTATATCTTTATCTTGTCTTATCTTTCTCTTCAAAACTTCTAGTGTCAATATGAATAATGGTGGAGATAGTGGGCACCTTTGCCTGGTCCCTTTTATTTCCATTTACCATCACTTTAGCTTGTTGTTCTTTGTAAATATTTATAAATCCCCAAAGCCCATCATTTGCAGTTGCATTATCGTGAATTGCCAATTAACATTATCAAAAGCTTTCTGTGCATCCAAAAATAACAATGCCATTTGTTTCCCAGGGTGTAGTTCTTAATATTCTAATGCATTGAATATAATTCGCATATTATCTCTAATTTGTCTCTTGGGTAAAAAGCCATTTTGATCTGAGTGTATAAATTCACTCAACAGAGGCTGACTTTGTAAACCGCTTAGAGAGGGCTGTAAAGCACTGTAAAGTGGTATATAAGTACGTGTTATTGCTAGTCCTTCTTTCCTTCCCAATGCTTGGAATGCAGAATTGTAGGCTTACTCTGCCAACTGTGATCAGTTCAATCCTAACCAGCTCAAGGTTGACTCAGCCTTCCATCCTTCCCAGGTCGGTAAAACAAGGACGCAGATTATTGGGGGCAAAAGGCTGACTCTGTAAACCGCTTAGAGAGGACTGGAAGGCACTGTGAAGCGGTATATAAGTCTAAGGGCTATTGTTATTAAAATGAAATACATCTCTTCACCATGATTGTGCCAGAAAAAGAAACAGCAGACGTTTGCGAGGTATCTCCATGTCATGACAAACTATAACATCCTGACGTACTTAAAATGCAATTTAGTCAACAACAACGAGAACACAAAGATACATTCAGTAGGTTATCGGCGGCTACATCTATCGGAAATACAGGCTTTAACAAATGTCCCTCTCATGAAGAAAGACCAAACATATTGCAAACTTACCGGCCATTATCTCGACCGACTCCCCAAACTCGGATGCTAACGATGGGCTGAGAATGAAGAACGCTACGATCCATGGGGTCAACCAAATTTAGCATATCGTTCTCCAGGATAAGATACATGTCTTTTCCCTAAATTAAAAAGAGAGAGAGAGAGAGAGACAGAGAAACAGACAGACAGACAGACAGAGAGAGACAGAGACAGGAGAGAGACAGAGAGAGAGGCACAGAGAGAGGAGACATAGGGAGAGAGAAAGTGAGACAGAGAGAGACGGAGACAGAGAGATAGAGAGGAGAGAGAGAGAGAGATAAACACACAGAGAGAAAGAGAGAGACAGAGACAGGGACAGAGAGGCGAGAGAGACAGAGAGAGAGAAAGACAGACAGACAGAGAGACAGAGAGAGGAGAGAGAGACAGAGAGAGACAAACACAGAGAGAGAAAGAGAGAGACAGAGGGAGAGAGATAGGGAGAGAGAACGACAGACAGGGACAGACAGACAGACAGAGAGAGGAGAGAGAGAGGAGAGAAAGACAGATAGAGACAAACACAGAGAGAAAGAGAGAGACAGAGACAGGGACAGAGAGGCGAGAGAGACAGAGAGAGAGAAAGACAAACAGACAGAGAGACAGAGAGAGAGAAAGACAGACAGACAGAGAGAGGAGAGAGAGAGACAGAGAGAGACAAACACACAGAGAGAAAGACAGAGACAGAGAGACAGAGAGAAGAGAGAGAGAGAAAGACAGACAGGGACAGACAGACAGAGAGAGACAAACACACAAAGAGAAAGAGAGAGACAGAGAGACAGAGGGAGAGAGATAGGGAGAGAGAAAGTGAGACAGAGAGAGACAGAGAGAGAGACAGAGAGAGAGAACGACAGACAGAGACAGACAGACAGAGAGAGGAGAGAGAGTCAGATAGAGACAAACACAAAGAGAAAGAGAGAGACAGAGACAGGGAGGAGACAGAGAGACAGAAAGAGAGAAAGAGACACAGAGAGAGGCAGAGACATTTAAAGAGAGATATTAAAAATGTGCAAATCTTTTTCACCTTGCAACTCTTATTTCAGAAAAAGAAGATGGGCATAAGAAAAAATATAACCGTGGGGTCCTGGTTGCTCTCCAAGCTTGGTGGTTTTCTTGCAGACGTTTCCTGACCCAACTAGGGAACATTATCAGTGCTTAGAAAGGAGTAGTGTTTGCTGCGGGTATGCAGCAACTAATACGGACGATGCTACCTAGACGGATGGGGAATTCTGGCAATTGAAGTCCACAAATTGCTACGGTCTTAAGTTTAGACCCTGGTGTAAATAAAAAGAAGACCACAACTTTATGTGGAGTTTAAGAATTCCAAAAATTCCCAGCAATAAGTAGAGTAGCTGAGGAATTCTGGGAGTTGGAGGTAGAGCGATCCATTTGGAAGTTCCCACGCAGAAAACATTCCATGGGGCTTTCCTAGAACCGTGAAGGCCTCGGATGAACTTCCCATCACCATCACTGATGACAAAACCTAGAGAAGAAGTTCCTATCAGGGCTACCACTCTAAAGGAGCCTTTCATCTCTCCATCTTCTATCTACATATATAAAAATGGCTCTGTGTGTGTGTGTTTGTGTGTTCGTGCGTGTGTTCCAGCATAACTCTGGAACACCTTGAACAATTTCAATCAAACTTGGTACACAGATGACTTATTCTCTTGGAAACAAATACTGTGGGGGTAAGACACCCCTAGGTGTGCGTGTCCGTGTGTGTCCCAGCATAACTCTGGAATGCCTGGGCCGCTGAAATGAAAGGGACTGAATTATATCTATAGTGTCAAGTCTCAGTACTTTTGAGAGTGATAAGTATGCATTTTGGATTCAAGTTCTGTTAAGATACAGCCTGTTGTGCCTTAAAGTGGCTTCTGCTGTACAGCACAGTGGAGTTGCCATAGCAACGGCTTTGCAATAGTCGGCAAGGGGGCTCCCTCGAATACAGGATTAGGATAAATACATACCCGGGCTACGCCGGGTTATCCAAAATACAAATACTAGTATCAAGATAGTAGATTGTAGATAGTAGTAGGTTGGCCTGGCCTTCAAAGAAGCTGGAAAACCATGTGGCCGGAAGGCTTACAGGTAAAAATGGAGGCATTTTTCTTACCTCTCCCCAGATGCCCACAGTATCTCTTATGTCGTTCTTGCAGTACGAGAGTTGCCGGATACAGTTGTTCACCGCAACGCTGCTTTTCCCAGGCGCTAAATCTTCCTCCCCCATCTCGACCCATCCCAAGGAACGGACGGCGAAGCACTGCGAAGAGATCAGATCCCAGGAATCACGTTTCAAATCTTACAGCTTTCCACCCAATCAGGTTAACGTTTTCATTTCCTTGGACAGAGTTCCTCGTCTTATAATCATCCATTTAGTGACAACGGCCCTGAAAAAAGCGGCTTACAACCCTTTTTCACACTTACGACCGTTGCAGCAATCCCCGTGGTCACATGGTCAAAATTCAGATGCTGGGCACCCGGTTCATATTTATGACGGTTGCAATGTAGTGAGGGTTCTGTGACCAGCTTCTGTGAGTAGCAAAGTCAAGGAGCAGTGTTACTAACTGAACAACTGCAGCGATTCACTTAACAACCACAGAAGGGTTGTAAAACGGGGTAAAACTCATTTAAAAGCTGTCTCGCTTAGCAACAGGAATTCTGGGCTGAATTGTGGTTTTAGGTCCGAAGACTACCTGTTGAAGATGGCAGCATAAAACTTCTCGGTTATTTTCAAAACTGTTGAATTCATAGTAACTTTTGTAAGCTTGCAAAATTTATACGTCGGCTCATTCATTCTTGACATGGAAGATTAGATATTTTAACTAAATGTTTCTTTTAATCTCATGATCTGCAGGTCAAAAATTTCGTCTTATTTTTATTTTAATCTAAATTGTAGATCACTGATTCTTTCATTCGCCACAACTTCTAGGTATTTGATGCATGCTAAGGATGAGATAATCATCCCACCAGATGAAAATATAATTCGGAGAACATTGGACTGCAGAGAGATGGGTAGATTGACATTGAAAATAAAAGATAAAGGAGATACAGAGTACCTATTTAACGTGGAATCGGTTTTATCAATGGTTAGAGGTAAGAGGTAGAAATTAGATGAAGAAAGATTATGATGTGTAAGTAAAATATGAATATTGTTTATTTTAACTATAGGTATGTTAGTTTAATCGTGACCCGTCAAAACCGCGCCCAACTAAACCGCGTCCGACTAAACCGCGTCGCTGACGTCATCAACAGGGCGACAACAGCCAGCGCGGAGAAAGAAGGGCGCTTTAAATAGCGCTTTGAAAGCAAGCCGA